AAAAAAAAAAAAAGCCTAATGAAGAGGTCCGAGATTAAAACTGTTTTCATCTGTTTCATCTTCATCTGCATTTACAAAAACGCAGGCCCTGTCTTTATTTATTTTTATTTTGGTCACATATTGTAGTTAATGCATGTTGCTTGTCTGTCAGGATCGGGAAAACAAGTTTTCAAACTGAATTAACAAAACCCCGTACTTACCCACCACACCACTCTTTCGGGGAATTTAATCTGATTTTCTATGTGTAAACGGCCTTTGCCATGCAAGACGGGATATTTGCATTTTGTTTATTTTAAATTTAATTGAATGTATATTTAATTACATTACTTATAGATTATAGCTTCATGGTAAAGGCCCAGTTCAGTCTCTGTGTGAAACCAAACAATTCCAGTGGGAAAATCCTAGAAGCAGATTTAGCCATTTCTGCTGCGTTATCTTGTTATTTGGTGTGAAATTCAGTCGCTCAGCGAGAGACAGAGACTGAAAGAGTGTGAGTTGACAACCCTGATGTTAGTACTATTCTAGCAACTTTAGCACTTCATTAGCATGTTTCTAGCATGATTAAACATACTAGCGATATTCTAAAGCATGCTAAAGCATGACTTAATGTTGTTTTATCTTGATGATATTGTTTTTATAATCAGTGGAAACACAAATTATGATTGAAAATAAAATTGGATTTTGTGTTTGTTTACTGATTGAATGTGACACTGTGTTTGTTTTATAGTGTGGATCATGGAGGAGAGTCCAGGATTAGAGCAGGACTACACAAATGTACGTCTATAAGCCCATTAGCAGCAGAATAGGAGTTTTTGTGGATCACAGTGCAGGAACTCTGTCCTTCTACAGCGTCTCTGACACAATGAGCCTCATCCACACAGTCCAGACCACATTCACCCAGCCGCTTTATCCTGGGTTTTATGTTAGTCTTGATTCATCAGTGAAACTGTGTTGATGAATCAGAATAGATTGACTAGAGATTCTACCCATAATGCTTTGAGCTGCATGATGAATCAGTAACAGTGAGATGTTATAGAGTCTCTTCATTATATTAATACTGCAGCTGAACTTCTGTCAGTGAATAAATGTCAGAATAAATGTGTGTAATAAATCCTCATATAGACAATAAGATCAGTGTGTGTGAGAGTCCTGCTGAGTGACTATGTGTTTCTGTGCTTTTCTCAACCTCCATTTGTCTTGATGGAATGTACTTTTTATTGGACTGTCACATCAATCTTTTGTATTATTACTATCAAATCTACCTTTCAGTTGAAAATTACCTTTCACAAACCCAATTCATTCAGAACATGTCATTCTTATATTTTATAATTCATGTGATTTTTTTCTCTATTGTTTGTGCAAACACACACACAGTCACACACACTCTCTAACGTACACACACACACACACAGTTGTTGTGTTATAAATGTTTCTCTTCTTGTCTTCAGATGCCTGTTCTCTCACACTGGATCTAAACACAATAAACACTCAACTCTACCTGTCTTTGACGAGAGATTCTACCCATAATGCTTTGAGCTGCATGATGAATCAGTAACAGTGAGATGTTATAGAGTCTCTTCATTATATTAATACTGCAGCTGAACTTCTGTCAGTGAATAAATGTCAGAATAAATGTGTGTAATAAATCCTCATATAGACAATAAGATCAGTGTGTGTGAGAGTCCTGCTGAGTGACTATGTGTTTCTGTGCTTTTCTCAACCTCCATTTGTCTTGATGGAATGTACTTTTTATTGGACTGTCACATCAATCTTTTGTATTATTACTATCAAATCTACCTTTCAGTTGAAAATTACCTTTCACAAACCCAATTCATTCAGAACATGTCATTCTTATATTTTATAATTCATGTGATTTTTTTCTCTATTGTTTGTGCACAAATAATAAAACACAATGTCAGATCAGCTTGAGCTCATATTTGAGTTGATGATAAATATGTGAAATGTCTGAATGCTGTATGTATCATCACCTGCACTGTGAAATATAATCAATGGCTCACAAGAGCCAAATTAGCTGCAGCAGAGTTACTGGACATTAGAAGAGAAAAACAACATCAGTACGAGCTCAAAGTAAGGAGAAAGAGCTGACAGAATTGTGATCATGTATCAATTAAATGTGTAATGTTTGTTACTTTATTTCATGTCTTGTGTTTCAGCAGGTTTTTATGTTGTTTTTAGATTAACTTGAACATATCAAAACAGGGATAAAGGCGCAATTGCATTCTCCTCTGAAGCATTAGATGACACAAAAACTCTGTAGTTCACTTTGAATGTGGAAATGTGTCTTGGGCAGCGACGCAAAGGCAGTTCTGCACAAATTTGATCTCATATTTAATGTTTGTTTCGAATGTTATCAATTTATGTAGCAAATGAGAATTGGTAAAATTACTAAATATTTTTAATAAAACTGAAAATCATTAACAAGACTCTCAACTAAAGTGAGTTTTTCAGTAACTGGAGAATATGTAAAAGTATGGTATTTGGGGTAAAAGCACTGAAGGTGCTTCTTCATCTTGATGAGTCATTAAAATTGGACAAACATATCTCTTCTGTAATTGGTTCCAGTTTTTACCAACTCCGCTTGCTGTCTAAAATCAAACACTTTAAATGCTACGACGTTAGAGATGGCTGTCAACGCTTTTATTACTTCACGCTTAGATTACTGCAACTTACTATATTGTGGTATTTCAAAGTCACAAATTACTCGCCTACAATTGGTCCAAAACGCTGCTGCTGAGACGCGCTGCCAAGATGGCGATGGCCCGCTCCGCCCACTTTGAGCTTCAAAAACGCTCTTCAGGAACTTACGGGTGACGTCACGGACACTACGTCCATGCTTTTATACAATCTATGGGTTTAACGTTTATATGACTAATACAGGATCAGTCTCAAAAAGCCAAAAGATAAAAATAGCCGGTCTACTTCATGCATTAGGAGAGGAAGCCTTGATCAGGGTGGTTTGAATGTTGTGGACTTTACAACTTTGAATTTAGCAATTTTAAAATTAGTTATTTTTTTTATTAGCTCCTCTATGTGGAATATTTTTCCATTTATTTAATCAACTTGGAGCTCCTGAAAAACCCCAACCAATTCCTTGTGTGTTTGTACACACCTGGAGAATAAAAACTTATGGAGTTACTAGGGAATCAAACTATTTTTAGGTTCATATGTACATTAGCATCTGTCTGTATATCACTGCTATTTTTTCTGTAACATTTGAGAAATAATAGTAATTGTTACAGCACTTTTATAGGCTTACAGCACATATATATAGTATATATGTACTATATATGTACATATATACAGCACATCAAAAATATAAAATAACACTTTTCAAGTTCCTTTTCATAAATATGGTTGTTTTCGAGGATTTTACAGGATTTAAATTTTAAATAGTCAAATTCAAGGATTTAAAGCACTTTAGGCACCTTGTAGAATGCGATTTGTGCATTATTTGTTTTATTCTTACATTGTTTACATTTGGTATCTTTTAATTGTTGTACTCCTTATTTTGTTCTAGAATTCTTTGCCAGTATGCTAATGAGAGGCAAGATAAATGTAACAATAAAGGATGCGAATGAAATAAAAAGAGAATTTGTGAATTAATATAAAACACGTCTCTATTAACTTACTTAATTTAGATGTGAACATAAATACTTAAAATGTGTGAATTAGGATCAAAAAACCGAATTGATTTATTCTTGATTTTGTCAGATCTGCTGCTCCTCCTTCAGAGAAGCTCCTCCCACTGCAATTCACCAATAAATGCTGGAATATTCCCATCGGCCCACAAGTGAAGACCAGCAACAAACCATCAGGAAGAGCTGAGATCTGCAGAGACAGAGTTTAGTGAAGGACAGTGAGAACATGAGAGATCCAGAGCCCTGCAGAATGAAACGCACTGAAGAACAAACAGGTTGGTGTTTATTCCTGATGCTTCATTCATTCAAATAAATAGACTTTGCTTAAGTGGGTTACAGATTTGGCATAAATTAAGTAAAAACAGATTATATATTAATTAGTGCATTTTTAAGAAATACAGTTTTTCAGTGTTAAAGTAACTTTCTTAAAATAATGGGTGATGTTGTGCAGTTTTTGTAAAATACAGTGTTAAAATTATAGCATTATTGCATGTTTTTTAAATGTTAAAGGGGCCTCTGTTTTTTTGTTTTGTACTGTTGAGGTCCACTTATGTTGTCAAGATTTTTACATCAAAAAACTTTGAAGTAATAGGCTACTTTCTGCCCTGATTTTGACTAGGGCTGTGCGATTAATCGAAATCGTCATAAAATCGCGATTTGAGCGTGCGCGGTTTCTAAATCGCTTTATAGCACGATTTTCCGCGCCCCTGACTTCCCGCAGTATGCTATCCGAACCAATCAAAATGCAGCACGCCTAAATGGAGCACGAGAACAGAACAGACAGGGCGGGCATACAAACGTAACGCCAGGTTCACACACTCCGTCTGTGGTGCGTATTTTTTCCGCGCCACAAATCTAGTTCAACATCTGAGGCAACGCCACAAAGAGCTCTATGACCAATGCATGGCCCTGGACACGGGATTTGTTTTTCTTTTTCTGCCATATATGTCTTATTCTAGAGATATTTTGTTACACCTTTACTTCGTGATTATTTTGCCTTATGTCTGTTCTAGAGACATGTTACAGCTTTTCACGCGATTGCGGTCCGGCAGTGCGCTCCAGGAGCGGTGCGTCTGCAGCAGTCATGCTATTTCCGCTGTGCTGCACGAATTAAAGTGACAGTGCATTATTCACGGTAAAAATTAACATAATAGGCGTCGAGGATTATAGTCTCGGAAGTAAATGCCCACTGCTATGATTGGCTTGTGTATGTTTCACAGTCTACATTCTTCACAGATGGACGCTGCTGTGATTTAGATTAAAAGCGCATAAATACGCAGTTTAACAGACAAAGCAATAGCGATCACGTAATGAAAACAGTTACTCACACTGAGATTTGCTAACTTTCAAACCTTTAGTACAATATGGGAAGCTGTAATCTGCTGATTGGTCAGTTTAAATGTCTTGCATTTGGTTTCAGTCACATGGTCAATGAAGGGATAAAAGAAGATTGTAAGGCACTGTTTCCGCCTGGTTTTAAGATGTGTTTTAGATCACAAGTAGATGCGGGTGACCCATTCCTGTTTACACCTGGTGTTTTAATCCACTTTTTAATACCAGGTGCAAACTTAAACGCTCTCAGGTAAAATTTTAAATATGAGTTTGGTCAAATTAACTGTAAATGTTTTATCTTTCACATGTAATTGTCCCCATGTCAAATGTAGTAATGAGTAAATACTGTTATTAAACTCTTAAGTTTTGATTCAGTGTTAACATTGAAGTGCTACCTATTTTAACACAATATAGTACAAATCTAGCAATGCTCTCCTATGTGTTTTGCAAACTGTGCTTATTTCTGTCATTGATAGCGGTGGGTGGTAATAGACAAGAAATGTAAATTTTTACTCCAGCGTGCTGATGTTTCTTTAGTTATTGGACTATCCTAAAGCCTGAACCACTGCCTGAGGCAAAACATTTTGCAAGCAAACGCACAGTCTCTAGGAGAAAATAAAGTATTTTGCGTTCAAAAGTAAAGTTAGTCGTGGGAACACATACAGTGCATCTGGAAAGTATTCACAGCGCTTAATTTTTTCCACATTTTATGCTACAGCCTTATTCCAAAATGGATTAAATTCATTCTTTTCCTCAAAATTCCATCTTTATTTTGAATTCATTTGAAAAGATTTCAAGCAAACTTCTTTCACGTCGTCATTATGGGGTATTGTTTGTAGAATTCTGAGGAAAATAATGAATTTAATCCATTTTGGAATAAGACCGTACCATAACATAATGTGGAAAAGCGCTGTGAATACTTTCCAGATGCACTGTAAGCATTGAAATATTATTTTTCTTTACATCATAATGTTCCGTTATTATGGGCTCTAAAGGTTGTGCCTCTAATGAATAAAAAACCTAATATCTAGTACCCTTGATGTACCCCCTTCATGGAAAATTCCAGGGACATAATGGATTAAAATGATCATAATCTTGTATAAAAATTGTTTGAACACAACTAAGTACTTTCTGCTATTACATCAGGGTGTTATATATTACTTTACTTCTCTTTGATTGATTTAAACTCTAATTTCAGACCTAATGGCTGAGAATGAAGTGGAGAAAGAAAGCTCTCAAAAATCTCAAATCACTTGCCGTCAGTGTGGAAAGAGTTTCACACGCAAACAGAGTCTCGAGATTCACATGAGGATCCACACTGGAGAGAAACCGTTCACATGTGATCAGTGCGGGAAGAGTTTCAGACAACATATAACCCTTAAAAGGCACATGTTTATCCACACTGGAGAGAAGCCATATGAATGTGATCAATGTGAGAAACCTTACATGTGTTCACACTGTGACAAGATATTCAGTCGTTCAGGTCATCTGAAAACACACGAGAGGATCCACACCGGAGAGAAACCGTATCGCTGCACTGCATGTGGGAAGACTTTCACTCACTCGTCAACTCTACGCAGGCATGCCAAAACTCACATTAAGTAGCTTATCTTTAGTTCCAGAACTTTCAAGTGCGAAGCCACATCTTTTTCCTATTAGTCTGTCCTAATCGGCGACGAGACAAAGAATCATCTAAATTAGTCACAGTGAGTAAAGTTAATCTTTAAGATGAAGTTCGAGGATGATGTTCCTCCCCGAAGTACAGTATCTCTCGTATAACACTTTGCTCAATAATATAATCTATATCAATTTGCTTTATGATGAGTTTCATTTTATGTCGTTTGTTTACACTTTTATAAAGGAAAGTATACGTTTTGTTTTTTTTACGAACTTTTCTTGCTCAATAAGCTGAAGAGGCTGATTTATTTTAAACTGTTGTTATCAAATAAAATAAAATAGGTATTCATCCACTTTTTGTGTATCTTAAAAAAGCAGACGCAAGATTTATATCATGTAGCTTTGCAACTGGCTTTCTTCACTTTTATTCTTTTAAGATGCTTTGCTAACTTGTTAATCAATAAAGAGGGAGATGTCTCATTCGTTTCGACTTTTACTTTTTGTATTTGCTGCAACAAATATTAAATTTTCATTGTTCATTTTTATTGTTCGCGCCTCCTTGCATCAAGAATAAGTAAACCTGCCCACACTGCCAAAAGCACCAAAAGTTGGTTAAATGACCATGGTGTTGGTGTGCTTGACTGGCCAGCAAACTCACCAGACCTGAACCCCATAGAGAATCTATGGGGTATTGTCAAAAGGAGAATGAGAAACAAGAGATCAAAAAATGCAGATGAGCTGAAGGCCACTGTCAGAGAAACCTGGGCTTCCATACCACCTTAGTAGTGCCACAAACTGATCACCTCCATGCCACGCTGAATTGAGGCAGTAATTAAAGCAAAATGAGCCCCTACCAAGTATTGAGTACATGTACAGTAAATGAACATACTTTCCAGAAAGTCAACAATTCACTAAAAATGTTTTTTTTTATTGGTCTTATGAAGTATTCTAATTTGTTGAGATAGTGAATTGGTGGGTTTTTGTTAAATGTGAGCCAAAATCATCACAATTAAAAGAACCAAAGACTTAAACTACTTCAGTTTGTGTGCATTGAATTTATTTAATACACGAGTTTCACAATTTGAGTTGAATTACTGAAATAAATTAACTTTTTCACGACATTCTAATTTATTGAGATGTACCTGTACTTTCCAGATGCACTGTAAGCATCGAAATATTATTTTTCTTTACATCATAATGTTCCTTTATTATGGGCTCTAAAGGTTTGTGCCTCTAATGAATAAACTAATATCTAGTACCTTGATGTACCCCCTTCATGGAAAATTCCAGGGACATAATGGATTAAAATGATCATAATCTTGTATAACAGATGTTTGAACACAACTAAGTACTTTCTGCTATTACATCAGGGTGTTATACATTACTTTACTACATATTTTTTTCTCTTTGATTGATTTAAACTCTAATTTCAGACCTAATGGCTGAGAATGAAGTGGAGAAAGAAAGCTCTCAAAAATCTCAAATCACTTGCCGTCAGTGTGGAAAGAGTTTCACACGCAAACAGAGTCTCGAGATTCACATGAGGATCCACACTGGAGAGAAACCTCACATGTGATCAGTGTGGAAAGTGTTTCAAACGAAAAGAACACCTTAAGGAACACATGAACATCCACACTGGAGAGAAACCTTACATGTGTTCACACTGCGACAAGATATTCAGTTGTTCAGGTCATCTGAAAACACACGAGAGGATCCACACCGGAGAGAAACCGTATCGCTGCACTGCATGTGGGAAGACTTTCACTCACTCATCAACATCTACGAAGGCATGCCAAAACTCACATTAAGTAGATTATCTTTAGTTCCAGATCTTTCAAGTGCGAAGCCACATCTCTTCCCTATTAGTCTGTCCTAATCAGCGACGAGACAAAGAATCATCTAAATTAGTCACAGTGAGTAAAGTTAATCTTTAAGATGAAGTTCGAGGATGATGTTCCTCCCCGAAGTACAGTATCTCTCGTGTAACACTTTGCTCAATAATATAATCTATATTTATGATGAGTATGATGAGTTTCATTTTATGTAGTTTGTTTACACTTTTATAAAGGAAAGTATACATTTTTTTCTTGCTCATCTTGCTCAATAAGCTGAAGAGGCTGATTTATTTTAAACTGTTGTTATCAAATCAAATAGGTATTCATCCACTTTTTGTGTATTTTTAAAAAGCAGATGCAAGATTTATGTCATGTAGCTTTGCAACTGGCTTTCTTCACTTTTATTCTCTTAAGATGCTTTGCTAACTTGTTAATCAATAAAGAGGGAGATGTCTCATTCGTTTAGACTTTTACTTTCTGTATTTGCTGCAACAAATATTAAACTTTTATTGTTCATTTTTATTGTTCGCGCCTCCTTGCATCAAGAATAAGTAATTTCATAATTTGATTTACATCTCATGAAGAGTCATGAAAGTACAGATGAAATGGCAAAGAGATGTCTTGGCAAGATGTATCAAGAAAGAGAAAATATAGAAGTAATAGCTTTAAAAATTTGTTAAGGCCTTACATCAGATGTGCCACAACAGCTATAATCAGATGCAAACTCCTCACCTTTCAGTGACAACTCACTTTTTTGAGATCAAAATGGGTCACCAATGAGATTTGCTTACAAGGGTACTTGTGATCTTACAAGGGTAAATAAAGAACTGGTTGTTTCAATAAGTTTTGTGTAGTATTTTCTTTACTCTTTACTTCTAATATTTTATGTATTTGAGATCTGAGTTCAAGTTCGCGTTTATTTATAAAGCACATTTAAAAACTTTGTACCAAAGTGCTGTACAATTTATAAACATAATTAAACAATATAAAAAAGCAACAACAAATAGATAAACTAATAAGATACAAATAAAAGCATGCAAGATAAACCGTAAACAACTTTATAACCCCAATATTAAACAAAAGCGACTTTACAGTCTGGAAATACTTTAGGCTATAGCTAATTATTTATTGGACCCCCTATCACATTAAGAACCGCTGGTCTACGCAGAAGAAAGACCTGTCTAGACTCGAAGAGTTGTGTCGAGCTATTCATTAGTTTGTTTGATGAGAAAATTTTTCTACTTTCAATATTAAATCAAAAAACGAATGATCGAATGATACACGGATTTACACGGATTCTGTGCGTCTCTTTGACCATTAATCTTGGTTACTTGCCCCAAATATAACTCCCTATATCTCCTTCCTGAGTTAGGATTATCAATGTGTTCTTTTGTGTTAATGTTGCAAGCTTTTATAATTATTTTATATTATTTATATAATTATTATACCCTTAATCCATTACACAAGCTAGCTTAGTTTATTTTCCCCCTCAAATGTTTTTTTGTAGTATTCTTCAATATCTTTCTGGAATCTGCACACAAACCACTTCCAGTAGGGCAGTTCAGAGAGATCAGAGGTGATGCTCCAGTTAGCAAATCTTTCTCCTGCTGTTCTGTATTCTCTCCAGGGGTGTGCATAATCAGAGTGATCGGGATGAAAACATCGATCACTTGCTACAGCTGATGTGCAGATGGTTATAGTCAGGTATGTTGAATTACTTTGATACCTCCCAGTTATTCCACTAGCACGATGAAAAGAAACCCTGTGATCTCCATCATTTCTATGGTGTTGGTGTAGGTAGGTAAAAAAAACTTGTGTGTGTGTGTTGATACACAGCCTAGAGCCCTGCGCGGCACAGTTTTCTTAAGCCCGCTCCCGCTGAGTTTCTGACCATTACCGCTCACTCCCGCAACATGTGTGTCCCGCTCCTGCAAACATTCTAATATTGTATATAATTTTTATGCTATCAATATGCAGGGTATTGAAATCACATTTGAATGAGCGCTCGCTGTTCACTTTTGATTTCCCGATCACACGCACTCAGTGTAAAGTGAGTGCATCTTACAGTGTGTGCATAATTATTAGGCACGTTGATATTCTGATAATATTTTTTTCCAAGCACATTTTACCAATGCCAAACCACATCAATCTTAATAACTACTATTAATTTTGTATTTAATCATTTATAAGTGATATATAATTGTCCATGAAGGCTGGAAGTGAAAAACTCCTTATGTTCAGGTGTGCAGAATTATTAGGCAGGTTTTATATTACAGATAAAATTAGCCAAAAAAGAGGTTTAACTCAGACTGAGATGTAAAAAATTATTAAATCCCCATATTATATATAAATATATTCAAAACTGTCGGCGCCTATAGCCTTGTGGGCAGTGCCTCGACATGTAGCGCTGTTGCGCTTCGGGCGTCCCGTGTTCGAGTCCCGGCTCGCGGACCTTTCCCGATCCCGTCCCCCCTCTCTCTCTCTCCAACTTCGTTTCCTGTCTAACTACTGTCCTATCAAATAAAAGGCAAAAATGCCAAAAATGTATCTTAAAAAAGAAGAAGAGAGAAATTCAAAACTAATGCAATAGAGAAATTTCAAAGTTAAGGCATGACCATTGGACAGCAAAATGCTCACTGGGTCAGCGGGGTCAGAAAAAAAACAGGTGGAGAAGAAAAGACACGTTAACTGCAAAAGAATTAAGAATTAATGTGAAGAATTAGGTGTGAAACCATCAAAACAAATTAGTCTCCAGCGACAGCATTTTCCAGAACTGCAACCTTCCCGGAGTCTCCAGAAGTACAAGGTGTCAGGTTCTCAGAGACTTTGCTTGGGTAAAAAATCCTAAAAAATGACCCTCACTTAATAATGTATTTCACAACACTTCAGCATGTTATTCTTAAGACATTTTTTTATAGGTTTTATGGACAGATAAGTTGAGAGTGACTCTTGAAGGACCAGCACCACATCCTCTTGTACCACTGTTAGAAGAATTGATCTTCCAGAATCTGACAGTAAGTTTTAGGAGCTCGTTTTTAGTCCATCTCTGCAAGACAGACTTTTCAGGATAGGAGATGGACTAAAAATGAGCTCCCAAAACTTACTGCGACATGGAGCTAAGGAGAAACTGTAGAACTTGAAAAATTGGAAAAACAGCTTAGTGAAAAGCGTTTACAGTTTAAAAGCAAATAGAAAGTCCTATTTTTT